TTATCGACTCCGGCGCCTCCACATCTTTTATTGATGCATCGTTGGTCCGTAAAACCGGTCTTCCTTCCAAGCCTTCTCCTGAAGCTACCGCCTTCCGCCTAGCCAATAATTCCGTCCAATCAAGCTCCATGTCATCTACCTTGTTCATGCAAATAGCCGGTACACATCACGAAGAATTAATCACTTTGCGCCACTTGGAGCCTTCCGCTCACCCAATGATTCTTGGTATGAACTGGTTGAAACGCCACAATCCTGCTTTCCACCATAGAGATAACATCATGGTTGTTACCTGCCTTTTCCGCGATTGTACCCCCACCAGTGTCTTTAGCGCTAGCAAAATTCCCATTGTTCACCCATACGATAACGATTTGATTGCCCCTTGTGCTGCTGCCATCATCGAACCATCCGTTTCAACTAACCCCGATTGTCAACAAACGATTTATAACCGTAGCCATCTCCATAACCCTAATCATGTAGATGTATACGATCCTGATAACCATAATTCTTCCCCATCCACGATCCAGTCTTCCGTCATTAACCAAATAAAATCCACTCCTATTGACAATTACTCATCTGACTTACGAATAATATCTGTTATGGACAACACTTCCAAAAATGCCTATCAGAATCAAAATATAATTAGTGATCTAAACAAAAACGATTTTACTTTCAACCCTGAACAGGATATTGTTAATATTACCAATAATCACAATACCAATCATGATCCTGCCACGCTAGATGTACCATGCTCCAGTAACCAAACGTCTGGTTCAAGTTCTAGTCTCATACGATTGCCTTCCAAGTACCTTGATTATGCTATTGTCTTTTCCAAGAAAGAAGCCGATCGCCTGCCTCCTCACAGATCTTATGATCACACCATCCCTTTGGTGCCTAATTCGGAAGTCCCTTTCGGTCCGTTGTATAACCTTTCCAAGATCGAGCTTGACACATTGTACGCATACATTCAAGAAAATCTTGCTCGTGGGTTCATTCAAAGATCTGAATCTCCTGCTGGAGCACCTGTACTTTTTGTCAAGAAAAAAGATTCGTCGCTCAGGCTCTGTGTTGATTACCGTGGGTTAAATAAAGTAACCATTCCCAATCGCTGTCCGCTTCCCTTAATCTCTGAAACTCTCGATCGTCTACATTCCGGTGTCATCTTTACGAAGTTGGACATGCGTGGTGCTTATAATTTAATAAGAATTGCAAAAGGTGAAGAATGGAAAACCGCGTTTAGGACCAGGTATGGGCATTTTCAATACAACGTCATGCCTTTTGGGCTCCGAAATGCCCCAGCCACTTTTCAAGCATTTGTCAATGATGTGTTACGCGAGTATCTTGACACATTTGTGGTGGTCTATCTTGATGATCTCCTTATCTACTCTTCGACTGAAGCTGAACACACTCACCATGTCCGTCTGGTTCTACAAAAACTTCAAGATGCCCAACTATCTTTAAAGCTTGAAAAATGTGAATTTGACGTCTCTACTGTTCAATTTTTAGGCTTTGTTATTAGTCCTTCAAATATTGCAATGGATCCCGAAAAAGTTGAAGCAATTCGTACCTGGAAAACTCCTTCAAGCATTCATGATATCCAAGTCTTTTTGGGCCTTACCAATTTTTACCGTCGCTTTGTTCTGAACTATTCCAAGCTCTGTGTACCCATTACTGCTTTATTAAAAAAGAATATTACTTTTAACTGGAATCAGGACGCCGATCATGCTTTTAAACTTCTCATCAAAATTATTACCAGTAACCCGGTACTCTCTCATTATAACCCTGCCTTGCCATGTATTCTAGAAACTGATGCATCCGACTTCGCTATTGGCGCCGTGTGTAATCAAGCTGATGCCTCCGGTGTCAATCACCCTATCGCGTTCTTTTCACGCAAACTTTTACCTGCCGAACAAAATTACCAAATTTATGACAAGGAACTTCTTGCAATCATTGCTGCATTCAAGCATTGGCGCCATTATCTTGAATTTTCTCAAGAATCTACCATCGTCTTGACTGATCACAAAAACCTGGAATATTTCACCACTACCCGCAATCTTAGCCGGCGTCAAGTTCGCTGGGCCGAATTACTTGGTGATTACAATTTTGTCATCAAATATCGACCTGCCCAACAAAATGCAGCCGCTGATGCTTTATCTCGGAAAGATAAACCTTTGGAGGGGGGTGACTCACGTGGAAAAACACCCATGACCTTGTTAACACCAAATATTTTTATTAATACCATCAGTGCTACAAGTTTAGAACCTCACGAAAATGAAATCGCAAATCAAATCATCAAGTTACTTCCCCATGATCCTCTCTTCTCTTCAATTATTCATGATATATCCCATGATCAAGATAATGACAAAAATTATACTTTTGCTGACAACATACTATTTTTTAAAGGTGCTATTTGTGTCCCTGATTCTCCAGATCTTAAAAGAACAATTCTATATGAATGTCATGATACTCCTGCGGCTGGTCATTTTGGAAATGCTAAAACTTATGATATGGTTGCTCGTAACTACTACTGGCCAGGCATGCGAAAGTATATCAAAGAATATATATCTGGATGTGACACCTGTTCACGCAATAAAACTAGTCATCACAAACCTTATGGCCTGCTAAAACCATTACCTATTCCTGACGCCCCTTGGACATCTATCTCAGTAGACTTTATCACCCAGCTTCCACCCTCAGGTGACTTTACTGCAATTTGTGTGTTTGTTGACCGTTTCTCAAAAATGGCTTTATTTATCCCGTCTACAAATCAAATTGACGCAGAAGGAACTTCCGAGCTTTTTATTAAGCATGTTTTTTGTCACTTTGGTACCCCTTCCGACGTGGTTTCAGATCGAGGTGTAACTTTCACTTCCAAGTTCACGCAATGCATTTTAAAAGGTCTCTCCATAACTCAAAAATTATCAACGGCTTTTCATCCTCAAACCGATGGTCAAACTGAACGTGTAAATTCCGTATTAGAACAGTACCTCCGATGCTACATCAATTACCAACAATCTGATTGGAGCACTTACCTCCCTATAGCACAATTCGCCTATAATAACGCCAAGCACTCGTCGACAGAGCATTCCCCATTTTATGCAGTGTACGGTTACCATCCTCGTCTTTCTGTTTCTCTACCCAGAACTAATAAGGATATGTCTACTGCAGAACAACGCTTGCAAAGAATCCACGACCTTCATGAAGAATTAAAATTCAACATTGCTCTTGCACAAGAAAAGCATATACAATTTTATGACAAACGCGTACAACAAGGACCTACCTACAAAATCGGTGACAAAGTATGGCTTTCAACCAAAAATATCAAGACCCAAAGACCTACCGGCAAATTAGACCACAAACGTTTAGGCCCATATAAAATTATCGAACTTATTGGATCAAGATCCTTCAAGCTTGACCTCCCCAAATCTATGCGAATCTATCCTGTCTTTCATGTTAACCTTTTAGAACCCTTCAAGCAAGATCAGATTGAAGGAAGATCACTTATCGAGCCACCTCCCGTTATCATTGACGCTCATCAAGAATACGAAGTTGAAGCTATTATAGAATCACGAATTTATCGCAAGCAATTGCAATATCTTGTTCATTGGAAAGGCTACTCCACCATGGATCGCACTTGGGAACCTGTTTCAAATCTTACGCATTGCAAACAACTTATCCAAAACTTTCATCAAGCCCACCCTTCTCGACCTTCAGGTGTTGTCGCAGAGCTCAACCCTAAGAGGGGGATTCTGTCATGATCCTGTTACATTTTATGCCCCAAATATGCAATATGAGTAACCAGCTTTCAGACTCAATATTCATCATTGATCTGTCAGCTCTTTAAATCCTTTGTCATGATCCACATAAGCTATGACTAACTTTTGTCATTGCTTATTCTTTTATTTAATTTCTTGTTTTCCTTTCTCTATAAATATAGCTGATAAATTTCACTTCTCCCAGTTTTCTTTATCAGATATATTTCATAATCATCTTCTCTTTTCTTTTTCCTATTCTTAAATAAATAACCTACTCTTCAAGAAGCTATTCATTCTCTGTCCTGTCCTGCCTGTCTCGTTCCTCCCTCGTTCCTGACACAGCCATATCCTTATCTGGTACACGAGACAGCGCATCTGACAAAGCGTTATCCACACCCGCTTTGTATTGTATATCAGGAGCATAGAGTTCTAATTCTAAAATCCATCTTACCAGTCTTGAACTAGGATTGACCTTGTGACGGAAGTATACCAACGGGTTGTGATCCGAATATACAGTTTAACCAGCTGAACAATCTTCCACAAAACACCGACAGACTCTTAACGCATGCACAATAGCAATCAATTCCCTCTCTTGAGCAGGAAATTTTTGCTCTTCCTTGGAAAGCTTTTTGGACTCATACGCCACAGGATGCCAGGTAGTGTAATTAACATATGGACGATTTAAATTGGTACTACGTTCACGCCCTACAGCAGGCTGGAGCAACACACCACCAATACCATATTCATTCGAGTCAGTCTCTATCACAAATGGCATAGACATTTCAGGCATTTGAATAACAGGAGCTGACGTGAGAAGATCCTTGATTTTGTTGAAGCTGTCATCACAAGCAGGTATCCACGCAATAGCACGGTTTTTGGGACCAGTGCCACACGTAAGTTCGGTTAGTGGTGAAGCAACAGACAAAAATCCAGGTATGAAAACCGCCGCTTCGATGAATACGAAGCTAGATTTACTGCAATGGAAGCTATCATACAAGAAAACATTGCCTTAAAAGCCTCAACCCTACTGCTCGAAAACAAAATTCGAGATCAAGCTACAATAATCGCTGATCTACAGCTCCAGCTTGAAAACTAACAAGCACCAAATTCCAGCATGAATATCGATCAACCTCGTAATTTATCCAGTAATGGAAGCATCTGGAGTCAACACCCTCTTCTTCTTCAGCTCCTAGCACTGCCAAGGCCTCTACTAAACCAAAAGTCTACCCCAGTAAGCCTGGTTTAACAATGGCCCAAAAAGTTGATCTCAACCCTAGGAAGCCACTCAAGCCGAAGGCCAAGCCTAAAAAATTGACAGCTGAGGCTATTGCCAACATTGATCGTCCTTTTCCTGAACTGGGTCCTGCCGAACCCAATGATTTCCAATACGTCTATATTGTTTGAAATTGTAAGATTAGTGTGGCAAAACCCGTGGGCGTTTCAAGCAGGCTGGTTTTTAAACTGGTCTTATCTTCGATATCACTTTTACCGCCACTGGTGTTCTTGGTGCTCTAGTACAGGAGCTGTATGCTTCTGTTTTCAACAAAATTATGAACATTGCGCATGTCATTTTCATCATGAATTTTGATCATCTGGATCCCAAGCATCTCGCCAATGCAGTGTATCGTTCCTACACAATCGAGGCTCGTGCTAACATTGTGGCTGATCTCCATTTGGATCGATGCAAACACGCCCTCACGTACCAACCCAACACTCATCCTCACCAAGTCAAGGCTGTTCGTCAGTCTATGATTAACTTAGTTTATATCAGTGAAGAGGATATTTCAGCAATTGTTGCTACTCCTCGCCAAAATCCCAGAACCGCTCTCATACCAGATTCGCGTACTTGAGTGTAGCATTCAGTAACTCTAATCGGCTTAATCTAAAGTACCAGATGCCGACGGATAGTGAGCCAGAGTTTCTGAAGTCAACAGTACTTTAATTTGTCTATAATTGTAGACTACGCCTTGAATGTAAAATTGTAGGCTAAGTATAGGCGCACCATACTTTTTGCTTGAAAAAAAAATCTCGCGCACCATTTTTTTCTGTCCGGTCAAATAATAAAATTCCGAGTTCGACCAAAAATGATTTTTGCACATTGAACTTTTTTCTTGCGCACCATGCTTTTTTCGCTGGCGCACCATCGTTTTTTTCGCTGGCGCACCATACGTGTTTTGCTGGCGCACCATACTTTTTTTTCGCTGGCGGACTAATTTTTTTTTCGCTGGCGCACCATACTTTGTGATGAAGAGAGTCAATGTGGTTTTGAGTGTGAGCTCATGCTTTTAGTCTAAATTTTATTTTGTTTTTGGGTTTTGATTATTATGAGATAAAATATAAAGTTTGGGAGAATGTTAAGGATTGGGGAAACAAATTATAAAATTATCCTGTCTAGTTGTTTTGAAAGTAATGAGACACGTTGTTGACACAAATGTCTCGGTGCGCGTCGAATACTTTTTGGTGTGAAAAGTTGAATGTTGGCCATTTTCTTACTTTAAAAGCTTTCTTCGTTTTGTTGTCGATTTGAGGTAAAATCATGTAAAAGTGACTGTTGGCAAACAAAAGCTGAATAGGATCATTCATTGTTTCCAAATCCAGACCACGAAGTGGTACAAAAGTGATTGAATCTTTAGTGTACATGATATTCTCATCATTATCTCTCCACGTGATTTCATACATATCGATTTTCAGTGTTGTGGCATGTAAAATTACTGGTCTTTTGATTGTGTCAGCAACAATTTGTGGGCATCCGTAACAGTCAAACCAAAGACTCAAGTCATCAACACAGGGAGCTTTGGTAGATTGCAACTTTTTAGAGGTATATGCTTCGTTTAACCCATTGTGTTGTAAATAGTGTTAGCATACTTTGTAAAGGAAGCTAACATCATTTTCTTCACTTGGATCCAAGCTATTTCAATGTCAAAGACAGCGAGGCTTACAGCACGATATCCACAATTGCCATCAGGATGGGGATTGACGAACTCAAGTACATCGTTGACCCATGCATCATGTAGCAATCCAAACAGACCACTGTAATCTGCTTCACGAGTTACGACAGTGGAAGGCTCGTATCTAGAAACAAAAATCGGTGTTATTGTTGTAAAATAATTAAAAAGATAACATAAACCATTACTTTGACTTGATCTGCTTGATCACGGATGTTGATGGCTTGCGAAGACTTAAGGTCGTTTTGGTTTTTTTTTGCTTTTCTACTTTTATTGTTTCCTGCTTCATTTTTTTTGGCATTTTGTTGCTCTATCGAGATTATTTCATCTTCATGCTCCACACCAAGCCTGTTTCTTTTTGTACCTTTAGGTCGGCCCTTTTGTATTTCAACAATTGACGGGGCAAGAACAGTTTCCAGACGGTCTACCGAATATTTTTGGATCAAAGCATCCATATCTTTGATAAGATCGGCTGATTCTTGCTAACTACCTAAGACATTGCTTAATGATAAAAGCTTTTCCAACCTAAGTTGGATGGCACTGGTATCAATAGGCAATGTTTTATGAGACTTTTTGCTCATCTCAGGGGAAATTTCAGCTATTGTGGCGACTATGAAAAGTTTTAATTTTGATTTCAGTCTAATTCAGTTTGTGTCAGGAACGAGGGAGGAACGAGACAGGCAGGACAGGACAGAGAATGAATAGCTTCTTGAAGAGTAGGTTATTTATTTAAGAATAGGAAAAAGAAAAGAGAAGATGATTATGAAATATATCTGATAAAGAAAACTGGGAGAAGTGAAATTTATCAGCTATATTTATAGAGAAAGGAAAACAAGAAATTAAATAAAAGAATAAGCAATGACAAAAGTTAGTCATAGCTTATGTGGATCATGACAAAGGATTTAAAGAGCTGACAGATCAATGATGAATATTGAGTCTGAAAGCTGGTTACTCATATTGCATATTTGGGGCATAAAATGTAACAGGATCATGACAGAATCCCCCTCTTAGGGTTGAGCTCTGCGACAACACCTGAAGGTCGAGAAGGGTGGGCTTGATGAAAGTTTTGGATAAGTTGTTTGCAATGCGTAAGATTTGAAACAGGTTCCCAAGTGCGATCCATGGTGGAGTAGCCTTTCCAATGAACAAGATATTGCAATTGCTTGCGATAAATTCGTGATTCTATAATAGCTTCAACTTCGTATTCTTGATGAGCGTCAATGATAACGGGAGGTGGCTCGATAAGTGATCTTCCTTCAATCTGATCTTGCTTGAAGGGTTCTAAAAGGTTAACATGAAAGACAGGATAGATTCGCATAGATTTGGGGAGGTCAAGCTTGAAGGATCTTGATCCAATAAGTTCGATAATTTTATATGGGCCTAAACGTTTGTGGTCTAATTTGCCGGTAGGTCTTTGGGTCTTGATATTTTTGGTTGAAAGCCATACTTTGTCACCGATTTTGTAGGTAGGTCCTTGTTGTACGCGTTTGTCATAAAATTGTATATGCTTTTCTTGTGCAAGAGCAATGTTGAATTTTAATTCTTCATGAAGGTCGTGGATTCTTTGCAAGCGTTGTTCTGCAGTAGACATATCCTTATTAGTTCTGGGTAGAGAAACAGAAAGACGAGGATGGTAACCGTACACTGCATAAAATGGGGAATGCTCTGTCGACGAGTGCTTGGCGTTATTATAGGCGAATTGTGCTATAGGGAGGTAAGTGCTCCAATCAGATTGTTGGTAATTGATGTAGCATCGGAGGTACTGTTCTAATACGGAATTTACACGTTCAGTTTGACCATCGGTTTGAGGATGAAAAGCCGTTGATAATTTTTGAGTTATGGAGAGACCTTTTAAAATGCATTGCGTGAACTTGGAAGTGAAAGTTACACCTCGATCTGAAACCACGTCGGAAGGGGTACCAAAGTGACAAAAAACATGCTTAATAAAAAGCTCGGAAGTTCCTTCTGCGTCAATTTGATTTGTAGACGGGATAAATAAAGCCATTTTTGAGAAACGGTCAACAAACACACAAATTGCAGTAAAGTCACCTGAGGGTGGAAGCTGGGTGATAAAGTCTACTGAGATAGATGTCCAAGGGGCGTCAGGAATAGGTAATGGTTTTAGCAGGCCATAAGGTTTGTGATGACTAGTTTTATTGCGTGAACAGGTGTCACATCCAGATATATATTCTTTGATATACTTTCGCATGCCTGGCCAGTAGTAGTTACGAGCAACCATATCATAAGTTTTAGCATTTCCAAAATGACCAGCCGCAGGAGTATCATGACATTCATATAGAATTGTTCTTTTAAGATCTGGAGAATCAGGGACACAAATAGCACCTTTAAAAAATAGTATGTTGTCAGCAAAAGTATAATTTTTGTCATTATCTTGATCATGGGATATATCATGAATAATTGAAGAGAAGAGAGGATCATGGGGAAGTAACTTGATGATTTGATTTGCGATTTCATTTTCGTGAGGTTCTAAACTTGTAGCACTGATGGTATTAATAAAAATATTTGGTGTTAACAAGGTCATGGGTGTTTTTCCACGTGAGTCACCCCCCTCCAAAGGTTTATCTTTCCGAGATAAAGCATCAGCGGCTGCATTTTGTTGGGCAGGTCGATATTTGATGACAAAATTGTAATCACCAAGTAATTCGGCCCAGCGAACTTGACGCCGGCTAAGATTGCGGGTAGTGGTGAAATATTCCAGGTTTTTGTGATCAGTCAAGACGATGGTAGATTCTTGAGAAAATTCAAGATAATGGCGCCAATGCTTGAATGCAGCAATGATTGCAAGAAGTTCCTTGTCATAAATTTGGTAATTTTGTTCGGCAGGTAAAAGTTTGCGTGAAAAGAACGCGATAGGGTGATTGACACCGGAGGCATCAGCTTGATTACACACGGCGCCAATAGCGAAGTCGGATGCATCAGTTTCTAGAATACATGGCAAGGCAGGGTTATAATGAGAGAGTACCGGGTTACTGGTAATAATTTTGATGAGAAGTTTAAAAGCATGATCGGCGTCCTGATTCCAGTTAAAAGTAATATTCTTTTTTAATAAAGCAGTAATGGGTACACAGAGCTTGGAATAGTTCAGAACAAAGCGACGGTAAAAATTGGTAAGGCCCAAAAAGACTTGGATATCATGAATGCTTGAAGGAGTTTTCCAGGTACGAATTGCTTCAACTTTTTCGGGATCCATTGCAATATTTGAAGGACTAATAACAAAGCCTAAAAATTGAACAGTAGAGACGTCAAATTCACATTTTTCAAGCTTTAAAGATAGTTGGGCATCTTGAAGTTTTTGTAGAACCAGACGGACATGGTGAGTGTGTTCAGCTTCAGTCGAAGAGTAGATAAGGAGATCATCAAGATAGACCACCACAAATGTGTCAAGATACTCGCGTAACACATCATTGACAAATGCTTGAAAAGTGGCTGGGGCATTTCGGAGCCCAAAAGGCATGACGTTGTATTGAAAATGCCCATACCTGGTCCTAAACGCGGTTTTCCATTCTTCACCTTTTGCAATTCTTATTAAATTATAAGCACCACGCATGTCCAACTTCGTAAAGATGACACCGGAATGTAGACGATCGAGAGTTTCAGAGATTAAGGGAAGCGGACAGCGATTGGGAATGGTTACTTTATTTAACCCACGGTAATCAACACAGAGCCTGAGCGACGAATCTTTTTTCTTGACAAAAAGTACAGGTGCTCCAGCAGGAGATTCAGATCTTTGAATGAACCCACGAGCAAGATTTTCTTGAATGTATGCGTACAATGTGTCAAGCTCGATCTTGGAAAGGTTATACAACGGACCGAAAGGGACTTCCGAATTAGGCACCAAAGGGATGGTGTGATCATAAGATCTGTGAGGAGGCAGGCGATCGGCT